TGTATAGCCACACCCTTGCCAACACTACATGTACAAAAAGAGAAGAGAGAAAATCAAGAAGAGAAAAATCAATCTCATTTGTGTAAACACAACTATAGGAAGTTTAGCCTTGCTCTGCTTCTGCATATTTTTTCCTTCCACGTTGGTTGGCCCCAATTTTTTCCATTATAGGGAAAACCCCCAAAGCCTAGCCTCGCGCTATAGAGTCTGAAACCATCTTCCTTAGAGCCTTTCTTTGTCTTCTTTCTCTCTCCTTTTCAACCCTTGCTCCTTCTCTCCCTTTATTTTTAATATAATTTAGTTATTTTATATATTTTACATCATTGTTCATTGTTGTATGTTTGCTTTCTCCCTTATTTAAATCAGAGAAAGTCGATCTCGAATTGCTCAGCCCGCACTTTTGGGACTCAGGATTCCGGACCTGTGGTCACTTTGCAGGTAGGTCCCTATCTGAGCCCAAAGTGTTGGTGAACTCCCTGCGCTCCACCTGGCTCTGCGGCCTCCACGATGGCGCTTGCGCTCAGTGCTAGACGCCCTAACTGCTGTAGAGCCAGCCCCAAAGGGCGCGCCGGGGTGGGGCGGTGAAGTTGGTACAGAGAGAAAATTTTGAGGGACATCCGGGAGTGTTAACGCTAAAGACGTTTTAAGAAATGGTGAGGGATAGAGCCCCAGAGAGTGGGAAGGTCAGGCTGGGGTACTGAGCATTAGTCACGGGGCACCTAAGGAGGAAGGAACTTAGCACATCGGAGGCATTCGGTCCTTCTGCTCTCAAACAAAACAACAATAATAATAAAAAAAAGAACTAACATCAGTGAAAATAGCAGAATGGGAAGTTAACAAGTGCCCATCCCTACGCAGAAACCGAAAAGATAAGCGTCAGAGTTGTACTTGTGGAAAGTCTGAAAATAGGCAAAGGTGTACAGCAATCAAGTCCACCCTCCATTAAGAAAAAGATTACGGGGCCTCCCTGGTGGCGCAAGGGCTTAAGAGGCAACCTATGAAGAAATTCGCAGCCTCTGCAGCATGAGTTCTATCTCCCAGCTGGCCAGGGAGCAGCCCACAGCATGCAGCAGACCTCTCCTGCCTCGCCCCCTGCTCCCCTCAGCAGCGTGTTTCAGTCAATCTGCCTGTTTGTTCCCCACTCTGCCTCTGGTGAATCCTCCCACCATCCACACCTCTGGCCTGTACCCCAGTTCTTGTATGCATAAATAAATAAATCTTAAAAAAGAAAGACAAACACTGTATAATTGGGACATTCATAACGACGTTAAGGGAGTCAGAAGGATGGTGCGAGAAAATTATGAGAAAATGGTGCCTATGTATGCCAAGAAATTAGGTTAATATCCTAGAGATGAAATGGACAAAGTCGTAGACATACACAAACTATCAAAACTGACTGTGGAAAATATTCTTGCAGTTCCTCAAAAAGTTGAACATTGAATTATTTTAGTAATTATGCTCCTGATTGAATTGGGAGGAAAAAAGTATTTAAACAAACACTTGTATGAATATTCACAGCACCTTTCACAATCTTCAAAAGGTGAAAACGATCACCTTTGAAATGTTCTTCACCAGATGAAAGGATAAACAACGACTATTGTTAGGCTATAAAAAGGAGCGAAATCCCCAGGCGCAGGTCCCAGAACTGCAGGCAGTGGGGGATGGGGAGCAGGGAGGCTTCGCTGGGGATTCCCAAAAGACCCCAGAGGCTTGTAAAACTGGACCAGTTTCACCACCTGCCTGCAGTGACTCTTTGGGTGAGGTATCCAAAATATTGTGGGGGTTCAGGTACTGGAACCCAATGAGCAACGCAAGGCCAGGCATAGGAAAATCTGTCCATCCTAGATCTCCTTGGAGTATCCATTCATCACCCTACTCCACACATTCCAAGAATCGCCTTTTGATAGTTTGTCATCTGAGATCCTGGTGTGTCTAACAATCTCTGGTGTGAATTCAATAAATGATGTTAAAGGCTTCCGTCGTGTGTTTGCGTGTTTATTAGTTGATATAAGTCTCTTCAGCCCAACCACCCCCTCTGGCACGATAACATCATCGGTGCTTAGCAAAACGTTGATCAAATAAATGAGTGAATGGGAGAACACAATCATTGTACAATTTGAGCCTTAGCTTTGTCATCTGTTGGCCATGTGACGCAAGAAGGGCGACGTAACCCGTTTTGTTTTCCTAGCTCATAAAGGGTTCAAAGCAACTCACAAGTGCACGGCTCCCAAGAGGAAGTACTCGCTCAGATATATGCCCAGGCCCCCAACACACGCTCCTGTAAACTCCCACCCAATGAAAAGACACGACCAGTGTTGCTTTTTTTTTTTTTTTTTTTTTTTAATAAAGAAACCCTTTATGGCGGACTCTCTGTAAAAACAAAGCGGGAGGCAAAGCTCATTTCTATTGGAAGCGAAGGTAGCGGGCGAGAATTTGCTGCGCTGGCGTAGGTCCTGCGTATTGGGTTTCAGCTATTCTTTAACACTGAGCTGTCGGCAAAAAAAAAAAAAAAAAAAAAAAAGTATAAAGAAAACATATATATTAGAAGCCGAAAGTGAAAAATACGAGACTCCTCCCTTTCTATTTTTCCTTAGTCCCACCAGGTGCCCATAAACATATGCACAAGGTTCTCGGGGCGATAGCCACCCCCAAGGCCTTGTGCCTTGTGTGGACGCTGCGGGCAGCAGCAGCCTGCGCAGCGCGTCGGTGATTCCCTGACCTTGGCGCGCTTCCGCTGCCCGGTTTGGCTGTTCTGGAGCTCCGGGCTGCTGGAGAGACCGCAAGGGCGTGAGAGTCAGCATATAAAACCCGTACCGAGAGCTGGACGCACACAACGCCATGCAGCAGCGCGTACTAACGAGGGCCTCGATACTCACGACGCCCATTGCGCTTGCAGTCTTGGCATGTGGCAGTTCCTCTACCTCTAGTGGCTAATCGTTTCTTATCAGTCCCGTTCTCTGAACACGCTTCTAAGTATAGCTTCCCTTCCCAGTTACCCTTCATTTTTTTTTTAAGATTTATTTATTTATTTATACAAGCACTGGGTACAGTCAGAGGGTGAGAGAATTCACCAGAGCGAGGAACAGAACAGGCAGACTGACGAAGTAAACTGCTGAGGGGAGCAGCGGGCGGCAGGAGAGGTCTGCGCGCCATGCGGGACCCTCCTCCGGTGGCTGGGGAGCAGCCGGGGATTGAACCGGCGCCGCAAACACTGGGTACAGTCAGAAGTGCGGAAAGGCGAGAGAATTCACCAGAGCCAGAGCGGGGAGCAGAGCAGGCAGAAGGACCGAAGTACACTGCTGAGGGGAGCAGCGGGCGGCAGGAGAGGTCTGCGCCATGTGGGACCCTCCTCCGGTGGCGGGGAGCATCCGGGGATTGAACCGGCGCCCCGGAGGCTGCGGGCAGCTCCGCAACCCAGCGGGGCAGCTTCGCAACCCAGCGCTCAACCACTGCGCCTCCGGGGAGGCCCATTCTTAGCCATCACATTAGTCGGCCAAACGCGCTCTCCGAACACACATTCCCAGAATGTGCGCGCTAGGAGGGCAGGGCTCTCGTTTTGTCTGGTTGGTTTTTGCGTCCCACTTAGAACGCGACTGACCACGTAGTAGGAACTTAACTAAAAAAATAAAGGAAGGAAGGAAGCGCAGAAAGAAGAGAGGAATAACGGAAAGTAGGGCAAGAGTGCTTGGGATCAATGTTTATTTAATTCGCAGGATGACTCAATTTATTCATCTGCGTGTGGCCCAAGTCAAACGTCTAATTCTCCTTCCACGTGGCTCCTCCTATTTCTTGCTCCGCGCAACTCGAAGGGCCCAGAGCAATCTTGAGTTGCAGGAGCGAGAAGGCGAGCAGGCTCCAGAACTCTCTTCTCTCCGAAGGCGCAGCTTTCAGCGCGTCTGCGCTGTCCACCCAGTACGAACCTCTCCACGGTCTTTTCCCCAAGGCCCAGGAAACTTAGTCCCCCATCTTCGGAACAACAATCGGATAAATTTCAGTGTTTTCAAGCTAGCGGTTTACCTTAAATTCGTGTTAATTTCGTATATTGTTAAAGTCTTAGCGCTATCAAGCTGTGGCCAGCCACTGCGGCCTGAGTTCCAACCCCCGGCCTGGGAGTTAACAACACAGGTGGCGCGGGCGGACCCCTTCTGTCTCCCCTGCTGCCCCCCACAGCAGTGTATTTCAGTCGATCCGCCTGTTCTGCTCCCCAGTCTGCCTGGTGAATCTTCTCCCGCCCCCCCATGGCCTGCACCCCAGTTCTTGTATTCGTAAATAAATAAAAATCAATCCTTTTTTAAAAGATAGAGAGCGAGCACAGAGAACCACTCCCTATCTCCCTCTCTTGGGACTTTTGAGGGGAGAGCTTAAGAGAGGGTTTGTGTTCCCCAGAGAGTGCAGCAAATCCCTGCGCGCGCCGACTATGCGGGTTGGAGGGGCTCTCCATTGAGGATGATCTCAGACCCCGGGACAGTTTTGGAAAAACTCCACCACAGAGAGAACAGGGTAGGATTTAATAGCGTTTTGCAATAAAACTTCCAGATGCAGCCACAAGCAACCGATTGTGTGGTCCAGCGACCTAGACAAGCTAACGGGGAATCATGGCCCACACCTTGTTTAGAGGAAGACCCACGACCCACGGAGTCTTCATTGCTCCACTATCTAGGTTCTGAGTTGCAGAGAAGAGTGTTTGCAGGGAGTGGGGGTAGGCTAGGTTTGGAGATGGGCTTTAAGTTGCATCAGCCCATCTCTGGCTATTGCCAGCCTGGGCGGCGCGATCCGAGGACTGGGGTTGGCCCATCAGTCAGCAGGTTGTGAGCTGAGGTCAGACCCAAGACCTTACTCTCCCGGGGCCAACTTGGTCTTCCGAAAAGGAGTGCAAGGGGGGAGGGCGGAAATTCTCAAAATTCAAACTGTTGTATTAGCCCCCTCACCTGCGGAATCTTCCGCAGCGTCCATACCTGCGGGACCGCTGCCTTGGGTGGCCCCAGCGGCCGCGCGCAGGTAACTGACCACATCCTGGTGGCCACACGCCTCAGCCAGGTCCACGGGCAGGCGACCCCAGGCATCGCGCACATCCAGGCGCGCGCCGGCCTGATGCAGCGCCTCCAGCGTGTCCAGGAAGCCCTCCCGGGCAGCGTCGTGCACGGGTCGGGTGAGGGTGGCCGGGTCGGCGCAGTTGGGATCCGCACCGTGGAGCAGCAGCAGCTTGGCCACGCGGACGCTGCCCATCATCATGACCTGGCAGAGAGAGAGCAGAGTGGTTAGGCTGGGGACAAGCGGCGGAGGTAGGGTTCATTTAAAGAAGCTATATGTAAAGCCCCTACTCAATCCACTTCTCAGTACAAGTTTTATTCCACTGTGTTACTTTTGCGGAGTTCCGGCTACACATACAGAACACTGCCAGAGGCACAAACAGCGAAATGGTGAGGGGCAAAATGGCGTTTACTATATAGCCTTTTTTTTTTTTTTTAAGATTTATTTATTTATGCATGCAATAGCTGGGGTACAGGCCAGAACATAACTTGAAAAAGAGTGGTCTAAAAAAGAAAAAAGAAAAAGAGTGGTCTAATACACAAGAAAAAAAATTTTTAAAGATTTATTTATGCACACAAGAACTGGGGTACAGACCAAAGGTGTGGGAGGGTGAGAGGATTCATCAGAGACAGAGTGGGGAATAGAACTGGTAGACTGACTGAAATACACTGTTGAGGGGAGCAGCCGGCGAGTCAGGGGAGGTCTGCTGCGCCATGTGGGTCATCTCCCTGGTGGGGGATCAAACTCATGCTGCAGTGACTGCGGGTCGCTTCATATTGCTGCCATCTTAACCCTTTGCACCACCAGGGAAGCCCCTACTATATAGCCTTTTGAGGTGAAATTATGCAAGGCCAGGAGATGTCCTATATTTCACTGCTATATATTAAGCCCAGAAATAGATCATTGTTAAAAACCAACAAATAAACCAACGCCTTGATTCTTGCAAAACTTTAAAGGTACCTTAGGTTTTTGGAATGTTGGATTTGACATATTTTTGTATACAATGAGGTTAGTTTAACCAGCCCTGAAATTCTTTCCTGTGATAAGCTGAATTATGTATCCTCTCTAAGTCTATGCAGTGACGCCAAAGCTATGAATACATTGTATTACATAGCAAAAGGGATTTTACAGATTACTTACTTTTAGTTACATTCTGTATGTATTACAATTTACTTAATTTGTCCAAATCAAGGAACCACAATATAGTCTACCATATTGATTCTGTCCTGGAGAAAGCAAAAATGATTTAATTTTCAAAAGGACCTAGAAAATATAAGCCATATTACAGCTGCCCCCCAAAAAGAAAAGAAAAAATGCTTACAGTGTATTAGAACAAATCACTATTTTAAAAGATAAGATGGGAAAATTTTCACACTGGCATTACTTAACAGTGTCCACAGTCATACAGTTATTAGTTAATAGTGCCATAATCATCCACAGTGGACAATCCATTTCACTGACTATTCCAACTATGCACTTGTTTTGTACAAGACACAATATATTATGGGGTCAATTTCCAAATAAAAGGGTCCACCCTAAGGACACCACAATTCATACAAACATTTGTGCTTAAATCCATATGTTAAAAAAATTATCCAACTTTCTTTTTTCTCTTTGTAATTAAACAAAACAAATAATTGAGAGTTCTAGCAATGCCAGAGTTATTACAACCTTTCATAAAACCTGTTCTTGGTAGAAGTCAACATCCATGTCTGTATCCAATATTTGAAAATGTAATAGGGTAAAAAAAAAAAAAAAAAAAAAAAGGTCTTCCAGGGCCTCCCTGGTGGCGCAGGGGTTAAAGACATCAAGGAATGGCTATATAAGGTATGCTTCACTGCTGCATCAGGCGGATGCCCTGGAAGTTCCGGGAGCAAACCATGTACCACAGCAGATGTCTCTTTGCCTTGCTCACTGCTCTCCTCAGCAATGTATTTCAGTGGCTATGACTGCTCTGCTCCCTACTCTCTCTGATGAATCCTCTCATTCCCCCACCCATCTCTGGCTTACACCCCAGTTCTTGTATGCATGAATAAATAAATCTTTTTAAAAAGGTCCTCCATTTTGGGCATAAAACTGGTTTTAAATGTTATTATACTTCACAGTATTAAAGGTTGAGGAGTAACCTAATATTTAAGTATTTAAATTATAATGCAATATAAAAGCAAAAAATAAAATCAAACAAACATTTGTGCTTAAAGCCATATGTTCAAAAAATTATCCAACTTTCTTTTTTCTCTTTGTAATTAAACAAATAAAGTCTCATCTAACGTATTCCAGAACTCAAAATATCAAATTATTAATAGTGCATGAATTATTTTTAAAGGAATCATGCTTGTTTTGCTTCTACAACCACTCAACTCAAAAACTCTGCACTTCATCCCCTCAGCAGTGTACTTCCGTCCTTCTGCCTGATCACATCCCTGCTCTGGCTCTGGTGAATTCTCTCACCCTCCCACGCTTCTGACTGTACCCAGTGCTTGTATAAATAAATAAATAAGCAAATAAATAAATCTTTTAAAAATAAAAAAAACAAAACTCTGCACTTCATATCCCAAATCATCTCAACTTTTAAGGCATTTTGTTTTGTTTTTATATCTATTCGTTAAAGTGTATAAAAGTCATCCTATGAAACACTGTTTTGGAGAGGGAAGATTCACATCAAGTTTATGAAGTCTCAAGTAGTTGCTTTCCTTTTGCCTTATAATATTGGAGCTTTTGCAATGTGCATTTGTATCATATAAGTTTTATTTTTCAGAATCAGAAACGCTGTTTCAAGCTGGGGATAAACTAGGGTGATTACTACCAGAAAGAATTCATTTCAAACTGAGATTTAGGAAGCTAGTGAAGGGTTGGGGTGAGGAGAAAAAACCCGACCATTCTGCTCTCCCTCCCTCCCAAGCCCACTGGGGGAGGGGGGAATAATGACGTTTCTGAACAATGAGGAATTAAAAACGCTATCAAAATAATCTATATCAAGTAAGTTAAGAATAATAAAATAACAGGCGATACACCCTGCCTGGGTAGCCACGCTGGTAACATTTATTTCAGGAGAGATCACAAGAATATTTTTCTTAACATAAGTATTTCTTAACATCTTGCAGCAAACATATATTTTGGGTTAAAATAAAAACAAACACAATAAATACATAGCTGTGAATAATTTCAATCGACGTTTATTTCAACATACGTAGATTTCGCAGGGGAACCCCCCCTCCCCCGCCAAGCTAGGAAGTTGATCAGCTCCGTTCAGAGGTCTGGGAGTTCTAAGTTTCTAAGTCCCAGAAAATCTTAAATTGCTTTAAACTCTTGCGTTTCACCTCAACATTGATAAATTTTGCATCTGATCTGCTCGGTCTATATGAACACCAATAGGCTTTCGCTTCCGATCGTTACACCGTCTACAGATCTGCGCCCCACGTGCAGCCCGGTTCCTCCGAAGGCTTCCAGAGCCCCCAGCGCGCCGCCCCAAGAAGGTCTCCAAAGCCAGACCCCATTTGAAAACCCCTTAGGAATTCTCCCCTTTATCCGGAATCGAAAGGCCAACTAGGTCTGACTCCCTTACAATCCCAATCCTCCAAAACAACCCATTCTTCTCCTTCCAGCAATTATCTGCAAACCCACCTGAATCGGTCTCCGACCCAGATGGTTTGGCGCGTTGGGCGGCGCCCCTGCTTGGAGCAGCGACCTCACTTCTTCCACCTGGCCCCGGGCGGCCGCGGAGGCTAGCAGGTCAGCCGCGTGCTCCATATTGCTCCCAGACTCTCACCCCCTCGCTCCCTTCCTCCCTCCCCCCTGCGCCACCCCAGCTGTCTGGTCTGGTGACTGCCGCTCCGCCCCTTCGCTCCCCCCGGCGCAGCGGAGCCAGCGCTCGCCAACCTTGCCCCACCCCTGGGTTGAATTTTCTCTCCAATCGCGCGATGAAAATGGCACCCCCTGAAGTTACCCCTTGCAGAAGCGCTGTCACCGTGGACAGTTCGCTCTGCGACACCCGCTAGAAGCGATCCCGGTTCGGAGCCGGACCAGGCTGTGCAGAGGCCAGCAGGGCCTGGCCTCCTACCACCTTTCGGAGCAAGCGCAGCGCCTCTAGAGGACTATGAGCTCCTCCTTCATAACTCCCTTTTTCTCTGCAGAGGCACTGCTGTGTCCTCCGAGGGAGCTGACCCTCTTAAGTGGAAAATTTCTCCCTCGTTTCCTTCTTGCACGGTGCAGCCTCGAGGCTCTGAAAAGCTGCAAAGCATTCCCAGCTGCCAAGCTGAAATCACGGTGCTTGCCGTTGTAGGCAAAGTCACGCTTCCTCTTTAATCAGGAGGGCGGACTGTTCCGGCCGTTGGGAGCCCACAGGAGGCCCTTCCCTTAGTTAACGTGTTAACGCTCCGTCCCCCACCCCAACCCCAACCCCACGTTTCACCCCTTGGGTTCCCGCGCGCGGAGCCCACCGCGTCGGAAATCTTATCAGCTCAGACTTTCGATTTGGAGAGTTTGCCCACACTCTAAGAGCTAGAAGCTGAGCTGCATGATGATCAAGAGGCCAGGCTCACACACTACCCTGGGGTCGCACCTCTCCCTACACCTCTCCTTCCTGGAGAAATCCTACAATTTCCTAGTTATATAGTGGGGGTGGGGTGGGGTGCTGCATGCGGTCTCCACTATGTCATAGCGTCTGCTATGTACTCTATGCCATCTCTGTTCACTTCCTGCTCAAGCAGGACTGGGCAAGCCATATAATTCAAAATGCTTTAATTTTAACCTGATGCGTAGTTATAGATAAGTCATACATTTTCATCTCAGTTTTTAACCCATTAAATAAACATAGAATCAGCCATACCTATCTTAATCGTCCCAAGGTCATTTTAAAGATAACTTAAAAGTGTATTATGAGTAAGGCAGCAGATAACTTTGCACACTGGTGCAAAACAAGTGTGATTTTACATCTATGTGAGAATTAACAGCATCTTTATTAAAGGCATCTCTAGAGTGGCCTCAGGCCAAATGTGGAATTTGAATCTCAAGAAAACAATCATTCCCTAACTTGCTGCTTTGTAAATGTTTGCTTTTGTATGCAGAGAAGGGTCTTTAAAAAAAAAAGATTTATTTATTTATATTTACAAGCACTGGGTACAGTCAGAAGAGCGGGCGGGAGGGTGAGAGAATTCACCCGAGACAAAGCGGAGAGCAGAACAGGCAGACTGATGAAATACACT